CATATTCGAAAATGTAGCCCTGCTATGCAATTCTCATTTACTCAACACTTTCGGGTTTTTAAATCCGCTGCGCTGCACCAAGAAGTCATATTAATAAATATCGCCCTCCTATGCGATTCTCATATAAGGTTTACATTTCTCTCTCTCTTTTAAATTTAGACTCTGTAAATATATATAACGCTTATTTAATCACCTTTCTTTTTCTTCTAGGCTCTTAAGCTAAACAATTCTTGAGGTCGTCTATATATTCATTTCTGTTTCCCTCCTAGAAGTTGATGGCAATCGTTCTTTTGGCTATTTATATAAATATACGCCAAATAAATTCAGACCTGTGTGAGAGTTATCTTCTAGTAACTTAAAATGTAATAAGTATGTTGGTAATAATATTTAATTGTTTTCCAAAAATGTTTTGAAATCAATTATTCCAATTAATCTTAACACGAGAATTACCTGCGGCTGGGCCCAAAAGATTTCTGACTTTTCACACTTCACTTGGATTTTCGGACACTTGAGAAGCACAAAGGGAGGCAGGCGCATAGAAAAAATTAAACAGCCATTTGTTTAAATGCTATTTAATAGACAAAAATCACCGCTGCCATCCATCCGTCAGTCGGGTCAGCCAACCATGCAGCCATCCTTCAAAGCATCCATGCCTCATTCCCGTCTATAACATGGGGTAACAGCATGCATTCGTCTGACCAAACATATAATACATCGGTTAATGGTTACAAATTAGGCTGATCGGCCGCACGCACGCACACGCACGCACACACACACACATACACACATATGTATAGGGAGCTGAGGCAGGAGCAGGGCAGGAGGAAGCCGAGTAAATAAATGGCCAACCGCAGCCGCGTCTCACTTGCTCTTTAGGCCAAAAGTGACGCCAAGACTAAACTGCCAATTTAATAAATGGCCGCACATTAATTAAACTAACACACACACACGCACATACTGGAGAACTTGGGAATGGAAAGAGCTTGTCGCTGCTCTTCGAGTGGCTGTGAGTGATGAGCCTTGATTGATTCCTGAGGCCACACTTGAGAGTGCGCATTGTTACCACAATTGTTGATGGGCAAATGCAGCTCGGAGCTGGACAGAGATCGCAGCTCGCGGCAGAATGCCATTGGCCTTGGCTGCACTTTGATTTGTGCCGTGGCTTGAGTAAATTTGTTTCCAATTCAGGCCTAATGAGAATTGATTGCCTACATGTATTTTGACAAACAGCGGACTGTTGTGTTTGCCATGAATATCGCCAGCTAATTAGCAGGTAAGCGCAGCTCAATGATTTTCCCGGAAAAACTGGACCGGCAAAACGGTAGCCAAACGGTGCCAGAAGCGCATCAGAAAAGTCAAACGGAATTAAACGTGGCCTGGAGAAAGGATTAAAAGAAAAGACGGCGGGCGGTGTTCGGCGTGCGGCGCTCAGCATGAGCCAATCTTTCGACTTCGACTTTGACTTCAGCCTAATCCCCTTAGCTTCACCCTTTGCTGGTGCCGCCGCCGCCGTCGTTTCAGTCAGGCGCGTGGGTGTGCGAGGTGGGCGTGTCGCTGTGTCTATGCCGAATGTATGCAAAGAGCGCTTGCAACCGGAGGAACCTATGAAACCTATGAAATTAGCAACAGAAGACGTGGTTAATTGTTTTCTGTCGAGGGTACAAAAGGGTTGACTGCAATCCGGACTCTGTGGGCTGAGCCATGTCCGGTGACTTCTGTGGGGATTAGCCGGGATGAAAGAGGATGAGACGGGATTAAAGCACTGCCTTTATGCATGCCGAACGCCGACTTCAAACAGGGCGGTTACCGACTGCGTCTCAGTCGCTTAAAATACTGCACAGAGTCAAAAGTCAATTCAAAGATACTGAATAGGAGAAATTTAGAAGCACATAGCAAGAGATCGATTTTTTAAGGCACTCCCAAAAAAACAAAAAACCGACTTGTATTATTCAATATGGTTCAATGAAAGGTATACAACATTTAGGTATACAACAATAATAATTTTAATTTTTATAAGCAATACAAATATTAAAATTATTACCATTATTAAATTATATATTTTTGATATAGATTTATTTTAGCAGTTGCCAATCAGAACTAAAAGGTGTCCTATAATGCACTTAGAATAAAGATAGGTGTCGACAGGTTTGTACAATTAAAAAAAAAATTGTAATTAATTACGGTCTTGGGTGACCTCCTGGACTCCTTCTGCGCCGTGAAAGTGGCGCCTTTTGAGCCGCTGTAGCCAAGGGTCTGGCCAAGCGATTGCTGTGAACCAACAGTCGGCCGACTTCCCTACAGTTATGGGGGCAACAAAGAATATTGATGTATAAATAATGGACAATATTTCCAAAAAGGTCGGAAAAAAGAGCATTCTTGTAGAAGAAAGTCAGTTTCTTTCAATGTCTCGACTTAAGAACATTTAGACTTAAGTTTGTAAGGGCCTGTTAGGGCACATCGGGATTATTTCACTCTCGGGTCTCTAGCTCTACAAAACTTCTTCTTTACGACCGGTCAATCAGAAGTACTTGCAAAAATCTTATGTTTTCTAGGAAGAGTGTAAGCAAATTTATGTGTGTTTATCAAGGGGACAGAACATCGTGAAATTTATTTGATGGATTATTTATAAAACAACCTTAATCAAACCTAGATTATCTTTAGCTGGATTTATTTTACCAGCTGCTTAAAAATTGCTCTTATCTTATTTTGCTTGCCTTACATACCTTTGCAGAAAATCATTATACCCTTTTTACCCATTTTCAGTGGGCTCAGGGTATAAAAATAGATATAGAACACACAAAATAGCATAATATAATAAAAATGATAAAAGCAATAACACATACATGTAATATGATATTATTGGAGTCCACTTGCAAGCCAGGTACAAATGAAAGTTAGTACTGTAAGAGGCTGGACACACGGCGTCCCACTTTGGGGAACTGCAAGCAACTTTAACATCAACATAGAGCAATTTCTAGCCAAGACTCTAGTACACATCTTCGAAGCTGACTACCTTATTCGCAATTCTGAAATAAAAAGGCGGACGGCATGTCTTTTCATGAAGGTACTGCAACAGATTGAAGCTTAAGGCCAACTCCTTGGCCGTTCTCTTAGAGAACAGTCTCCACAACCGCCGTTTGAAAGGATTCCAACCTCTGAATATCAGCTTCAGATCTCTTCCCAACACCTGAGGCCATCAAACACCTCCCGCTATTGTAAATATTCGAGGTTTATTTAAGGTCGAACAAATAAATTAAAATAAAAAAAAAAAAACAAAATGATTAAAAATATATAATATTTCAAAAAATAATAATAATACTTAAACCTAAAAATAATGGTTTTATTGGTTATCCTTTTTTTTATATAATTTACATATTCACTCGCACAGTGGGAATTTTAAGCACAATCTTGCAAACAATGTCTTACACGATTTGGAAAGGCTGTCAATGTTGTTAACTGGTTCTGGATGGATCCTGACGCAAACAGTCGAAAGGTAGTGACAAGCGGAGCTACCGTTGCCATTTATTGGGGTGAGGGGAGCCCCGTTTCACCCTCTCTCTCTCTCCCTCTCTCTTTCTCTCTCTCCCTCTCTCTCTTTCTTGCTCTGACTGCAAAGTTATTTCCTTAACACGTGCTACTGCACTCGTAATCATTTGGAGCTGCTAATTTCGACCCTTGCGGTCGGTCCGCGTTCCTCAACAGCACGTTCCGGTGCGCGGTCGGAGCCGTAAGTAGGTCTTAATCCTTTTTTTTATCGCGTTGGGCGAGTGCGCACAATTTCCAGTTGCTCGAGCAGGGGCGAATGCGGCGCAGGACTGGACTCGATTGGAACTGCTGGCTAAGAGCTGAATGCGCGTAGATCATTTCGCAATGATAAATTAAGCGCTAAGAGTATTTCCATGTTCCTGCAAGACAATCCACTGTCAGGCAAGGGAGATTGATTGTGGTGAGCTTCTGCCCGTGCCTGTGCCTGGGCCAGCTCCAGCTCGAGCTTGTCGCACATGTGCTGCTTACCTTTTGGCTTTATGGACACACTGTCAACGCGATGTCTGCCTGACTGAGCAGCGACATATTTGCAATAGGAGCCCAGCTCCGTTTCAGGGAAGTTGCGCATGACGCAGACGTGAAGCTGGCTAAGACCAGTTTATGACACTCTTTCGCTCGCGCTCTCTCGGGGATCGAGCTGGTGGCTGGCTGGGCTGCCACTTTGAAAGATGATGCCTTGTTTAACATATTTCCAGAAGCCAACAGGTGCCAATGGGCTGTGATCAATCATTGCGAATCGATGTTTAATTAAGAACTCTTGTTAGCATTTGCCAACTATCGCTGCCAGCGCATCTCGCGCCTCATTGAGCCTGAGCCCCAGCTCGTCGCCGCTTCGTCTGCGTCCCCCTGCCATTCCACGTGAGCGACGCTGATTGCAAACAAAGGCTTGTTGAATTCTTCGGGGCAGCGCAACAAAGGCCGCCAGGATGGTCCCGTCTGGCAGCCCCACATGCCCAGCAGCGCGGGGCCATGATGTTTAAATTTGTCCTAATTAGATGACAATGAACGATGAATCAGCGTTAAATGCGAGTCTTCAGCTCGCATCCTGTGTTGAATATTTCTTAAAGCTATTTTGGCTGGAACATTTCAGAATATTCTCAAAGAAAAACCTTATTATTTCGGTCTATTTAAGAACCAATATATGGTTAATTGGAATGACCTCGAGTCGGTACTCTGTTTAATAGTTTTTTTTTCAAGGTATAGCCTTAAAAATTATTATTTAAACACATTCGAATGCCATATCTGTGCCCTGAAATGTTTATACAGATCGGATAATAATTACCCAAGTTATTCCAGATCACATTTCCCATAGAGTGGGGCCTAAGAAGAAGGAGGCACAGTGTAGAAGAAAATTCGAATGCTTACAGGCTATTCTTAGTCGAGCACTCCTAATCGTAGAACTCTTTTTCGCCTGAATTTTGATCCTGTGTTTACCAAATTCATTTCAATTAATGTCTTTTGAAAAACGTAATAAACTTTTATTTACATTTTCTTTTTAATAAATGTGCGTTGATCCCAAGTTATTTTTTTCCTACGCCTATTGGGGGAGGAGCTGCAGCAATAAGTAATGCGAGGATTGGTATGAAGAGTTTCATCTTGTGTATTGTTATAAGGCGTATGACTTAATAGAATCGCTATTTATACGAAATTTCAAAATGCGGATGTCGATGTTTAAATGAATTTGGTCACACTTCACGCCATTGTAAATTAAAACTTATTATATAATAATTTATTTATTTTCATAAAGAAAAATGTACTTTGTTAAACTTCTTATTGATGCAAGATCCCTATGTCCAAGGGGTCTCTTCTGGCTTTAACTAAAAATGACCACAATTTATATAAAATTGTATTCTCTTAACATTTTATTAATACTTACGGGCTACCTTAAGTTACACTGAAAAAAAACAACCCATTTGTAAACTCCAAGTAAAATTTGTTCGGTTTATTTGGTTTTTATATTGTCTAGGTATATTTATGTACTTATAAATGTTTGTTTGCTGTTGTATCCATAAAATATACGCACGAACTTACATATATATCTACGCACAACAGATGCAACTAGTTAGATACAATAATAATCATAATAATAATAATAATAATAATAATTATACATTTAATCATACATTTCTTTAAACTATTATTCCACTTACAACTATGACAAATTGGGCTTCGGCTTACAAATAATTTGCTATGCTTTATACAAAACGTACATCTAATTAAGTAGCACTAATGTACAAGGTTCTCCTTTTTTATTTTAAGGTAGAATGGGGAGGAGGACGTTACTTAAGCCTAAGTTGTCGCCCAGTGGTCGTTGGTTTTGTGCTTAACTAAGTAATATTTTTCACTGTATACTCCGAATTTGCCCGGTGACCTTGACGTATCGCCGGGTGTACAAAAAAGGGGGATTTCGTTACGATTGAGACTTAAGACTTAGGAAGTGGGTGCCGGAAAGTATTGCGGGGCTAACTGAAGGACTCATTGTACACGGTTGAGTTAGGGGCGTGTTTGGGGTCTCCTAAAGCGCCGTCAGATCATAATCCTGTTTGATGTGCTGCTGCAGATTGGTCATGAGATCGGATTGCTGTTGTTGTTGTTGATGATGGTGCAGACCCGTGTGCATTTGATTGTTGTTGAGGTTGCTGCTGTTGTTGTTATTGTTATTATTATTGTTGTTATTGCTGAGATGCACCTGATGCTGCTGAGATCCAGCGTAGGCATTGCCATTGCTCGCATTACCACATGACGTTAGATTCGCCGCCTCCGTGGCGGCGGGTATATACGGCGGATTGCCCAGCGAGGAGCTGACATCGCCAATGCTCTCCAGGCTATCGGAGCGTATGCACTACAATCGAAAAGAGAAATCAGAAATTTATTAATAATATCAAATGACAAAGACGTCGTTAAAAGCTAAGGGCCAGTGTTAGATATTAGATATATGGTAAAAGATAAACCAACACTTAAATAACTTAAGCAATCAGGCAATTAGTTACACTATTCTTAATTCCTCAAGCAGGCCTCGCAATACTTGCTTTGTTGCGAATATTCAAACTTGCGGAAGCAAAACTAGTTTAGTTTGTAGATACAGAATATTTTATACCCTTAGGCTTTTGTATTTACACACATGTGGATGCCATTAGTATTTCATGAAAATTTCATATTCAAGAAAGGAAGACGGAAATTCAAATGCTTGTCACGGCAGGATACCTCTGAGTAGGGCCCTCCCGCTCGGAGCACTCTAAATCGCTTGAATTTCGACCCCATATATATCTAATTAAATAAAATTAAAGTCGTTTGAAAAACATAATAAACATTTATTTACATTTTCTTTTTAATGAATTTGATTTTTGCCTATAATTAGTGGAGGGCCTGCAATTATATGAAGTGCGATGATTGGTATGAAGAGTCTCATCTTGTGTATTGTTATAAGGCGTATGAATTAAGAGAATCGCTTTTAATACGAAGTTTCAATATGCGGATGTCAATGTCTAAATGAATTTGGTCACACTTCACGCCAGTCGCAAGCTAATTCAAATCTATTTAGTTTGTATAATATCCAATTATTATTTTATATTTTGTTATGGTAATTTTATTGTTTTGTTTTGTTTTTTTTGTAATTGCTTTATACTTCCTAAAACCCCTTTCCGTGAAAAGATGTAAAGAGACATCCTGTAAAACGACATCTTCGGGGCCATATAAGTAGAATCTTGGTCATGGTAACTATTTTTTAAATATTCTATTTTCCATTCTAAATGTTATTTCTAGTTAGCAAATGACAAATTTGTAAATAAAGCGAAAAATTTCCACTGTCATACATATCATATACATTTATATATATAAAACTGTTTGTCCTGACTGAATGACTGACTGAATTATTGACTGACTGATTGGTGATCAACGCGCAGCTCAAACAGTACGAGCTAGGAAGCTGAAGCTTTCACTGTAGTTGTTAAGACGGGGTTTCGGGAAATTCCACCCGCAAGTGTCGAAAAATCGCGATAAATGTTTGTATGAAACTTTTCATTCGACCAGTTTCAAAATCAAAATCATACCTGCCACGGGCAAGGCCGGGCTATACCCGCTAGTATACATGTATATCTCTTTTTCTCACTCTCTGTCTCTTTCTCTCTCTCTTTCTCTATCTCTTCCAATATAGAACTGTATTATTCATATATTCCTCATAAGTGTCCATATCCCTTTCTATCACTTTCTCTCTCTCTTTTTTTTCACTCTCTCCTTCTCTCACTCTCTCTCTCTCCCTCTCCCTCCCCCCCCCCCTCTCTCTCTCTCTCTCATCCATTATAAAACTGCATTACTCGTATATTTCTCAAAATCCTCTCCCCTTCTCTCCCTTTCTCTCATTTTTTCAATCTTCTCTTTCCCTCCCTCTTTCTCTCTTTCCCCCCCCTCTCTCTCTCTCTTTCTCCCCCTCTCTCTCTCTTTGAATTATTCATGTATTCCTCGCATTTGTTGTTTTCAGCTCGTGTCATTGGTAGCTACAGTCGCTTCCCTGTTGATTGCTGTGCAGCGAATGGAACTCACCTCATTCATCACCGGCGTTTGTTGTTGTTGCTGCTGTTGCTGTTGTTGTTGCTGCTGTTGCTGCTGGGCCTGCTTCTTGGCACTGGCGCGCTTTGTGGGCTTCTTGGCTACCGGTGTTGGATTGCCATTGGCATCGACCGTTTTCTTGCGCACATTCTTCGTGTTGGGCAGCTTGTTGTCCTTCTTCCACTTCATGCGCCGGTTCTGGAACCAGATCTTGATCTGGCGCTCCGACAGCACCAGCGTGTGGGCAATTTCGATGCGCCGCCGTCGGGTCAGGTAGCGATTGTAATGGAACTCCTTTTCCAGCTCAAGTATCTGGTGGCGTGTGTAGGCGGTGCGTTGGCGTTTCGGCTCCATGCCCGGCTGATACGAGCCGTTCGCTGCAAAAAACAACAGAGAGAGAAACAGAGTGGGAGCATGAGAAGATGCATAATTAATGATTGAGAACAGGGGAAGGGGCATGGACTGGGGGCAGTGGCAGGCCGATTAAGTCGCAACGAGCCACAATTAATACACTTCAAATTTAGTTTCATAATAAGCAGCAAGAAAAAGGCTCAATAAATCTCGCCAGATAAGTTGACAACCCCAAAAAGCGCGCCAAAAACTTTTGACAACACCTTGAACCCCCGGGCCGCCGCCCGAAGGGTAGATATACACGAAAAAGAAGAAGAAGCCACCGACAGCGGGCAGATGAAAGAGCTGCACTTACACAGCGCCCGTCCAGGATAATTAATCAAAATCAAGTAAAACAACTGCCTGTCCGTCTGCCTATCGAATAAAGGACAACATTGCGCGTTCGCATTTAGTTTTTCCTCGAACGCTTTAATTAAACATTTCCCGCCGCAGCTACAGCTCACCCCGCAGACGTTTTATCCTTTTCCTGTTCCGTTTTTTACGCGCCACACCTGCTGTCCCCGTTCACGATTCGAATCGGACCCACGACTGCAACAAATAGAGCCAACAGACAGCCGACAGCCCATCAAATTTATATTCGCACCATCAATTTCAATTTGGCCAGATCGCAATGCCATCGAGTTTGGGTTCAGGCTCAGGGCTGATGTCTCTATCCCTATGGCTGGTCCAGGGTCCTGACGCAGGCTCCGCAACTTGACCAATCATATCCGGAGCGCACATCAAGCTGTAATTTATAAAAATTTCATTGCACTGTGACAGACAGCTTTCGATTTGATATAAATATTTCAATCCCAACTGCTCTGCTGCCGTTTCTCAGCTGCTAGATTAATGATGTTGTCCACTGGCCGCTGACAGCAGCAGGGGTAAAGAAAGGGGGCGAACGGGCAAGGGTTTCACCTCCCCTCCCCCCACCCCCTGCCTCTATTACTCTCTTTTGAGATTTAGTTTAACATCTTTGAGTCGCAATGGGTGAAGGCCTAAAAGAGCTGTTGACAAGTTTTACTTTCTGTTTCCTAATTGTAGCTTTTGTTTAAGTAAACTAACTTTTAATTTTAATATACTTAATTAGTTTTACTTTTACTAACGGCTTTGCTAAATTAATAATGATTTAAAGTAAGTTTTTGTATTGCTAGTAAAAACTTTAAATTAGCCAAAGAACCAAGAACTTAATTTAATTGTGTGTCAGCTTTAATTCAATAATATTTTGTTAATCGCTTTTAACCTCTTACAATTTGTTTAAGCTAATGCAAGTTTATCACTATATGCTTGTTGGCAGCGTCTTGATCAATGTCTTGGGTTGAATAGGAAAACGACAGATAATCTTATTGTTGAATATCTTTAGCAACAGTACAGTACAGTACAGTAGAACACTATAACAGATGATATTTACATATTTAGCGAAATAAACAATAATCCAATTTTTGTAACATTCATGGACTCAATTTTTCAACTCATGATTTTACATCCGGATAAAAAAAAGAGAATACAATTGTGTTCCCATGCTCTCAGTCTCTCTCTCCCTCTCTCTCTCTCTCTCTCTCTCTCTCTCTCTCTCTCTCTCTTTCTTTCTCCGTTCGTTCGTTCAGTTTCTCTAGGTGCTAATAATTTCCATTTACCTTTCAGTAACAAAATAAGTTAAACATTTTCCTATTTTTTATAAAAATAAAGATGCCCATTTGTAATTTTCCTTCTTCTCTTATCAAAATAAAAATGAAATGAAATGAAAAAAAAATAAAATTCGTATAAAATTCCTTCATGTATAAATCATCACGTCGATTCGTCAAGACTTCTTCACAATCTTTAGAAATTGTCTGCACAAATTCTTTAATGAGTTATTGATTTGATAAAGTTGTGAATAAAAGAAGCAACAACAACAAACATAAAAATTAAACAATATCAATTACAAAGCCTGAAAGGAACAGGCGGCACGCGGAACGGGAACGAACGAAGGAGACAAGGAACAAGAACAATGAAAACGAAACCAATGAAGGCAATGGCCGCAAACAACGCGACGTCAGCTGCTGCGTAGGCGTTGGCGTTGACGTTGACGTTGACGTCGGCGTCGCAGCTGACGTTGCAGCCGGCGTTGGCAGCATGCTGCGTTAATTCGTTTTTAATAAGTGCGTATCATTTCATTTCAACATTTCAACGAAATGTCCAGTGTGCCGGGTTGAGCGGGTTGCCATGTCCATGTCCATGTCCAGGAAGAGGCCTTCAAGCTGCGGCCGGGGGTTTCCAAGTCCAAGTCAAAGTCGTCTCGCCGCCCCAAAAGTGCAGCGTCATGCTGCGGAGCGCTTGCCCAAAAGAGTGCCAATTGCAATTGCCTGGCAGCCAATTTATGAAAATGCCAAATCATACAAGGCCAAGGAAATCAAGATTGCACAAACAACAAATGCCGTTGGTGGGGGAGGGGGCAGGGGCAGGCAATGTTGCAGGAACGTAGCGTGAAACTGCTAAAGAGCGAGATGTTTGTTTTTGGGAAAATTGGCGCTCTCTGGGGGATTGGCGGCAATGTTTAAACATATTAGTGCGTAGGTAGCTGCCTCTCTATCTCCCTTCCTCTCTCTCTCGCACAGTCTCCTGCTTTTACCCCATATCATGTGTAGGTTATAATTGGCCCTGCCTCATGCACGGCTGTCGGCATGTTTGTCCCATCGCATGATTTATCATGCAGTTGTGACTCCACAATTTCATTCATAGACGAGGGACGTTAGTTCCAAAAAAAAAAAAACTATGTCAGACGTTACTTAATAATCATAATCTTTTGTGTCGGTGGCGGCTACATTTCTGAGCAAAACCCTATATTCAATGCCAGGCCCAGTCAGAGGCCCGGCCCGGCGATATGCTCCACATCGCTTTAATCCACAAAAACTGATCGCTGCCTTTGAGGTGCGGTCATCTGGGCAACTTCCGGGCTTTAACTACACTTTCATTCATTCGCAATCTTCGAGTAACTGGGCCAACTGCTTCCACTTGATTAATTGCTGCGATACTGCGAGAGTGTGTAAATATTTTGGATATGTGGCCGGGGCACGACCTGTGATCGAGAAATTTGACTCGTGCCAAGCAGAAAATAATTTTTACGTCTGTCAACTTTGATTTAGCTGCTCATTCATCAAACGCAACGCGAAACCCGTTCCCAAAACAACCAAAAATCTCTCCTCAACCGGCGTTAAATTTCTTTAGCAACATTGAGGGTAAAACATTATCAAATGACAATAAATTAATATTTTGTTGGCCCTAATGAATGGTTGGCAAAAAGTGAGTGCAAGGCGCATATTGCGCATACGTCGCGTTGGCAAGCGTCAATTGAATTCTAAGCTAAATTCTGTTTCAGGTTTTTATTTATTTTTTTTTATAAAGTTTAGTATTGATGTTACCAACAACTGTGAATTGCCGGCAGCTTGTGTGTGGGTAAATGTACTTATTTATATTTTTTTTTTGTGTGTGCCATGAGCTCATGGAAAAAGGCAAGTCAACATCAGCATTTCAACAACAGCGGGAGCTGCATCAGCAGCTTGTCAAGTGACTTGCAATTTGTGGCAGGCAAATAAAAATAAACATGAGCTCATGCTACTTACACACACACTCACAGCAGAGCCCCTAGCATGCGTACCACAAATCTCATGTACTTACAAAACAATTCAATACACACACACACACACACACACATGCATACAAATCCTATAAAGTTACAAACTGAAGCACCCGCAGCAATTGAACTTGTTGCTGGGAGACTGCATCACAACTCGAGATGTTAATTTGCTCGCAGCAATTTAATACATTTTTAGCTGCACTAAAAAAACAGACTTTAAACAATATGTTAATTCCAGCTCACGAATTGCGAGTAAATAAAAACAAAACAAATCAAATTCTATTTAAAAGCTAGAAGGCGCTCGATAAAAATGTTTTTGGGAAGACATCAAAATGATTGATGTCAACCCAAACAGAATTTGTTCATAAATAAAACTACAACATGGTCCCAGGTTTTGCATTGTTTATAACAGGAGACGTACGTTCTTTACTTTAAAATTAAAAAAATTAAATAAAAAGAAATAAATAAAGAATAAACGAATTCTTTTTAACAATAAAAAGTTTATCATTTTTGGTTTATTTCTGCATTCGATGATATTAATGTCGAAATCTTTGCGTTCGCAAAATTATATACTTTCAATTATTTTAAATATCTACCTTTATTAGTCAAATATTATTTGTATTATTTTTTAGGCCTTACTTCATTTTAAATCTGTCTATCTATTACGAAAATCGTAAAATTAATTGATCGGACCTAGGCGCTTTCTAGGTTCTTTTAAAAATAATAAATAATAAAAAATAATAAATGAATTAAGATATCAGATATTCAATTATTTTTACATTTTTAATGCAAATTGTCTTCTTTTAAACTCAAAAGGTTACTTCAATATGAAAGTTCTATGTAAAATTTATATGAATCAAGAAAGCTTTTCAAATAATTCTCAAATTTTAATTTTAAAACATGAAGAATTTTATTTAAAAACGTATAAGAATGTAAATATTATTATTATGTTAATTTCTCTCGCAAATCGTAAAACTTTTTTTAATCATGAAAATAATTTTGTTATTATAATTTTGTCATGAGTTGATATAGCACGTAGAAATGTCTGTCTGTCCGTCTGTCTGTCGGCCTGTCTGTTTCTATGCAAGCTAGACTCTCAGTTCTATAGCAATCGTCTTGAAGGTCCGTCTTTCTATTCTTGTTTTTTTTTAAGAAATATAAATCTATATATGCCCAGAATTTGAAGTGAACTATACAGGAAAACTTTTAGTTTCTGTGTAGGATGACCTCATTTAATGAACATATGCTAGTAAAAAGTTAATAACTTGTCTTAAATGTAGTCTATAGTGTAGTCAGGTAACTGTCGTTTTTCTTTTGTACTATGCACCTATTTATTCTTCCGCGCTGAGTAATAACAATCGCAGCACATTC